GATGGCGGATTGTAATCCAGAAAGAATTGTGTTTATGAAACACATATGACTAAAATTAGATTATATTCCAGTTTTAAATGTGCATATGGATTACAGATAGCCTGTGTGGTAATACACAAGATTTGAACCAGTTCTAAGGAAGAATAATTTGCTTTTTGGGTTAAAAGATTTTCTTTATATGAAATTCGAATGCATAGTTTGCTTTTTGGGTTAAAATAATTTCTTGGTATGAAATTCGAATTGTATGACAATTAGAGATTAGACTGTGCAGAAATTGAAATCTACACGCTAACAGGCTACACACTACATACACGTAACTTAATCATGCAATGTTGATGTTGTTAACATTAACAATTTGAGTTTTTTTTCTCCATTCTGTCACTAATGGAGTTTTGGTTCTTTGCCGCTGTTGCCTCTGGCTTGCTTAGTTGGGGACACTTAATTTCCAGCGATATCGTCGACTTGTTCGCACAGATACTACTTAAACTGAACTGAGCTGGATGATGACATCACTGAATTCAATGATGAATTGCCTTTAACTGAAAATTGAGTGTTTACTATTGTCCTTTTGCATTATTGACACACTATTTTCCTATTTAATACTGTAAAGATGCTTTGACACAATCTGTATTGTTAAAAGTGCTATATAAATAAAGGCGACTTGACTTGAATTGGATTGAGAACAAAGTATAACAAGTTTTGTAATGGAATTTGTAATGGAATTCATTTGTAATGGAATTCTATAAACACTAACTGGCAACATGTGAATAACAATATTAGTGAATATTAAGTCGGTGCTGCATGACAGGTAGTGCACTCAATGACCACTTAACACAGAGAACCTGCCTGGAAATTAGTTTCAATTATCACCGTCTTCAGTACTTTAATTATAATCATTGTCTGCATTGCTTAAGCCTGAAAATGTAGATAAGCTGTCAATCTATTCATCAACATTTTTCAAGGACAGTTTTTCTTACTTTGTAAGATCCATTTATTCATTTTACAATTACTTTAATTATGATTATTATTTGTACTGTGGTATGGTAAACAATTATACAAAATAGTGTTTGGTATGTAACGCTAAGATATAGGCCTACAGCTATGATCATTATCTGACATTAATTGATGGACTGGATTCTTATGATATTTTTTATCAGCTGTTTGCCCACTCATTCTGACAGCACCCATTGGATCCATTGGTGAGCAAGTGATGGAATGCTAAATTTCTGCAGATCTGTTCTGATTAAGAAACAAACTCATCTACAGGGTGAGTTAAAATTTAAATTTTTAGGTGAACTATTCCTTTAAACAGCAGGAAAAAATATTGGAAATACAAATATTGAACTCTCATTTCTGATTTCCCTTTATTTTTCTCTAGCAAAGAGAGACATGCCGAGCATGTACTGAGAATTTCTTATCACATAGTTTGTCATGCTGTGCCATGACACTTTTTTATTTTGTGCAAGATTAATGGTACGTGAGCGATTTAGTAGTGTTTAATGCTTTTCAATGCTGATTTAGAAAGGATTTTGCTATGTTTGGATTTTTAGGGGTTGCCATCATGGTGACGAGTGGAGCATGAGCTTGGTTCAAGAACCGATATAATGTTCTCTACTGGCTTACTCATTCAGCAGTTGTGATGCTAATCAAAGCATTGTTTTACCAATTAGTAAGATAGCATTTACTGAATTAGCTGTAGCTAGTTAATTTACACTACTAAAAATAATTAAATTGAGATTATATGATACTTTTAAATTTAAGTATAAAATTAGCAATTAGCATGTATGAGTACAGTATTCCATAGAATGTTCTCAAATTAATCACAGTACACCATATATATGCAATACCATATGTGTAATGGTGGTTGGAAAATTGCAGGATTTTTCACCCAACCAAATTGCAGCAGATCTAGCAGAAGAGAATGTTTCACACAATGTACAGATTCAGAATAGGCCACACAATATATAAACAATTCACAATATAGACGCACACATTATGTACAGTATGTGGGGTATGAATAAAAGTGTTCTAAACGGTTCCATTTGTGGTGTCAACAAGAGTGACAATATACTTTATATACAGCATACATAATGTAAAGTAATGAACGTGGGTTTCTAGTGGAGTGTAACATGTAAAACACTGACAATATGCACAATGTGCAGTAATGCAATACAGTGGGACAGTTCAGCTTTCCAACAAATTAGGCATATTAGGCAAAAAGCATTCTCAAGATTTATTCAGTAGTAAGAGAGTTCAAATATACTGCCAAGACACATTTTGTCTTTCCATTTAGGACCATCTGGAAACTGTTGGCAACACAATATGATGACTTCGTTCACACTACAGTGAATAGTGCTAGACTAGTTAATTAGAATTAGGCATTATTGTATTTATAAATGTGCATGTTGTGTTCATTCATTAAACTCACATGGGGTTAAGCACTGGGATTAATTTACCCCTGGCTAGATAAATAGATTAAGCTGCAAATGGCTAATGTACATATAGACATGCACACTGCTGTCAGAGTTACATTTGTTGGCTCAGAGAATGTCACAGACCTATCTGCTGTAATTTGTTTTCAGATTCATCACTTTGAAATGCATGACTCAAAATAGTTTAATTATGTCCTTCAGGAGTCTCAAAAGAGTTGGATACACAAACAGCGAATGGGAAATGATGAGCACACATACGTAATACAGACAACAATGTCTTGATCCATTTATAGATGTGACATACAACGTGTAACCTCTGAGATGTGGTCGACTAAAAGCTAAGGTGTTGTTTTGACAGAATAACAATGATTAGTGATAGGTAGCGGTTTGGTAGCTTCTTCAGCCATCTTCCTGAATAGCGAGAGATGTTTTCTCTGCAGTTGGAAAAAGTCCGATTGCCTTTCTCCATTTGGTGCAGACAGGGTAAGCCACAATTGCATATTTGAAGACGATTGATTGTCATGTTTATTTTTTTAAACAATGATAATAAAGAGTCTGATCTCTTTCTAAAAAAAATTAATAAATAAACATAAACTGCAAGTTTTTGATATGTTTGACTGTCCTTTTTTTTATGTGCTGTCCCATTTATGTGCATTCATTTTGATAGGAGTCGTCCAACCTCAACGCAGAGAGAGCAGTATGCACTTGGAATTGCGACTTCGTCTCTGTCATTAGAAGACCCATTTTCTAGTAAGACTGACTTTGCAAAATACATTTACAGTGAATTAAATGCTTTTCCTTTAAGGGTTAGTTCACCCAAAAATTAAAATTAGTCCATGATTTACGCACCCTCAAGGCATCCTAGGTGTATATGACTTTCTTCTTTCAGATTAATCCAATCTGAGTTTTATTAAACATTATCCTGGCACTTCCGAGCTTTATAATGGCAGTGGATGGGTGTTTCTGTTCAACAGTCCAAAAGAAGTCCAATAAAGTGCATCCATCCATAATAAACAGTGCCTCACACGGCTACGGAGGGTGAATAAAGGAATAATTGTAAGAAAAATACCCATATTTAAAACATTATTAACACTTTCCTCTGGCTTGCGCTAACTGTCATGTGCGCAAGCCATTCCGGGCGGATGACGTAGGACTTTGGCGTAGCGTCAGCTCCAGTGAGAATATGCTAGTCTCGCGAGAACCAACGTTTGTTTACAGGAGCAAAGGAAGCAAATTTTCCTTACTTTGGCAAAGGAAAACTAGTCTCCTCTTGGCTGAAATCCTGAAATCCTCCAACATTTCTCTTTACAAATCCTTGTTTTGTACTTCTAATTCATGAATTGTTTGTCTTCGAATGCGCTTCGCCGACACCCTACGTCATCCGCCTGGAAGGGCTTCCACGCAAGCTAGAGAAATTTTTTATTATGGATGGATGCATTTTATTGCACTTCTTTTGGACTGTTGAACAGAAACACCCATCCACTGCCATTATAATTAGTTTTCATTACTCACAAAAACGCATGGATTCGCTACAGGAGGCCTTTATTCACGCCCCAGAGCTGTTTTATTATGGATGCGCGCACTTTATTTGAAGTGTTTTGAAATGTTAAACAGAAACACCCGCCTACTGCAATGATAACACTTGGAATAGCCAGGACAATTTTTAATATAACTCTGATTGGATTCGTCTGAAAGAAGAAAGTCATATACACCTAGGATGCCTTGAAGGCGAGTAAATCATGGGGTAGTTTTAATTTTTGGGTGAACTAACCCTTTAAGTCACCATTTACTCACCCTTGTGTCCAAGAAACACAGGGTACATCAAACACTGGGAACAGCAGGAAACACGTGAACATAAGAAGAACCGACAGAGACGTACTGCACAGACTAGGGCTGTGTCCCTACATTAGGTCACTAATTCAGTTCATTAGAAGGCGTGAATGAAAACGAGTAGTGAATTCGGACACTGAGTGCACCGGAAGGAATGCTGCTTTTGCATAGTTTGTGCTTGCTGTTTATTAATCATTTGAAACTAGCAAACTAGCAGCTCCAGTAGTAAGATTAAAGGATTTTGTCTTGAACTCTGTCACGGAAATTATGTATAAACCCTAATCAAACAATTTAATAATCAATTTACAATGAATTTATACCAGTGTTGTACATTATGCTGTACGCCATGGATGAGCGCTTTGTAAAAATGAACAGATTGATTATTCAGCTGCGGGCGCCATCTTCTGGCGACATGCGGGAATTCATTCGGCGCGTGACTCTCACGGTGCATTATGGGCATCCTCTAGCCGTTGAGCGTGCACCAGTTGTACACTCGTTTTTGCAGTGCATTGTGGGATTGAATGAGTGCACTCGAGAACGTCCACTATGGTTTCGGACACCACTAAAAATGGCTGTTCCCTCAAATAGTGCCCTATTTAAGGGTATAGGGAAGATTTCAGACACAGCCTAGGACTTAAATACAGAGGATGATTGGGGAAACACAGGTGTATGGGATGACTAATCAAACTAATTAACAAAACGAGGACAGGAACATGACCAAATAAGGGAACAGAAACATGACACAGACAGTCCATGATCGGACACATCTTGAATAAATGTGTTAATTAGCTTTAGTACTGATCAGATTGATATTAGTTAGGTAAATGATCTGCTTTAATTTGAAACAAGCTTCTTCAGCTTTTCTTCATTGCACATGAGTTTTCTCAACATTATAATATAGGTCTACTGACAATATTTTTCTCTGTTTGTCTGCAGACAAGCCTGATGTTGTCATTTTTCTCCATGAGACACTGGATTCAAACTCTGTGCCAAACAGCAGTGGATGTGTGAAACGCCAGGACGTTTTAGTGGTGGACTGTATTTTCTGTGATGGTGAAAAAAATAGGGAAGCAATTTCTGCAGTTGCAGACTGGATAAAAAACTAAGGTAACACTTCTTTTTTCGAAATATAATATTAGTTATTGCAGACTTCAAGTAGGGGACGATTCAAAGGTAATAAGTGAATGTCACGTTAACAATAAATGTGTTTTGTATAGTTTAGAGACCACTAAGGACGGGTAGCAGAATGACACTGAGGATTGATAAATCACCTCATCAACCATTCAGAAAGATCCTGTGACTCTGACAACTACATACCTCAACTCTTCACAGTTGAGATCCGCTTTAGCTTGTGTCTATCGAATACAGATGTTTTTAGCGAGTGCTTCAAGTGCAGATATTTGCAATAATGTAATCAGCTGTCTAATTATTATTCAGTTTATTCCAGCCACAGTGAACTAAAAACAGACGTCATTTGTCTCAGAGGTCTTTGTTTTATTGACTATGGCATGTGCTTGAATTGTATTTACAGAAGCCTAGCATGTTGACAGGCATTTACAAACCATTATACTGAATAGTTCAAAAATCCTACTGGCTACTAATGTATGCAAATAAATGACCTGACAGTGAGTGTACAAAGCAGTATAACTCTCCTTGCTGCATGGCAAAGCCCATGTATGATGATAAACTAACGTTCAGTTCTTCTGTCTAATGCCTTATGTTAATGTAGAGGCAAATATAATTACTTAACTCATTTATGTGTATTTATTAAGAGATTTTCAGTGAATTGTTTCTGTGTTGGTGTTACGTAATTATACTGTATTTAATCTGCATGATGTATTGATAGATTCTGTCTGCTACTGTGCCTTTACTCTAAATCGTTGCCTGTAATTAGAAAAATGCTTATAATTACAAATCACAGTAAATTTGGTGTAAAACTGTAAAGTGTAAGTGTAAAAAGTGTGTTCGTGTCTTTTGTTCAACGGTAGAAAATAATTTTATTAAAGAATGTTTATGACAATAATCAGTATAGACCTAAAAAGTACATATGTATACATAATATATAATTACATAACATATTAAACTAAGACCGCTAGTAGGTGGTGGCAAGTCACTGTTTTAATGAATGAGTAATTGAATAATTGGTTTAGTTCAAAAGGAAGCAAGTAATTGATGACTTTTTGAATAGGTAATTTAAAGCAGCATTTCCCAACCTTTTTCAGTCATGGCGCCCTTTCAAAATCTTCAAAAATTTGTGGCACCCTACACAAACACGACTGCTCTACAGGCCCTGCAGTCTACCTGCTCTGCACTGAAGCTGATGGTTCACTTCAGAAGCATCTTAAAGGCCTTGATGTTGCTAAAAAGAACATTATTTTGTGTATTTGATGTAATGAAATGTGTTTATGCGGTTTAAGGGTCAAACTCCTCTATGCCCCGCCTTTCAGAAACACGTCGATTTTTACAAAGCTCATCTGTCTGAAAAGCGGGCTGTGCTCTGATTGGCCAGCTATCCAGTGCATTGTGATTGGCCGAATACCTCAAGTGTGTGAAGGAAATGTTACGCCCCTTACCATACTGTGATGCTGTGTCCCGGTGCAACGAGACAAAACCAATAAAAACCATTAGGCAGTTGGTGCATCCAGTGGGGACATAATTACGGATTATAATGATTTATACTGTCTTTTTACGCGTTGCATTGCGTTGCATCGCATCGCATCGCACTGCATAAACATAAAACCATGTCTGCATTTGTGATCGGAGAAATGACAAACAACAAGCGCTACTCTACACTGCTCAAAACTCGCGTTTGAATCATCAGTGGCAAATTCTTTAAATATGAAAAAGTACTTACTGTGAGTCAGAACAGTCGGCACTGTAGTCTACTCTACCAGGATCAGGAAACAGTCCTCCATAAAATGTGCTGCACACATCTGAATATTTGGGTTGAACTGTTCTGGAACAGTGTTGTAAATACAACTTAACCACTGATTTCTAGTCGTGTCCTCTTTTGGAAGGCCAAACAAAGTATTTTTCGCTTTCGCAACGAAACACACAGTGTCTTCACAACATGGCGGCGGCGGTGGCAGCAACAATAAAGTTACGCCTTCTTTCTTTGCGTGAACATTTGGGTGGTGTTATGCAAATCTTCCCACATCGTGACGAAGACATGTGGGGGGGTGGTTGAACGAGTCATTTTAGGAGGGCGTGGACGAGTCTTAACTTTTATAAAGAATATCTCTTTGGGTTTGAGACTTTTGTCTTTGCAACTTTAGGGCTCTTATCTATTCACGGACAGCTTTTAACACTCCAAAGAGAAAGGAAAACTTGAAATCGCATCATATGACCCCTTTAAAGAACACTTCAAGTAGGCTACTTCTTTGATGCCACAGTAAAAACTACTAGCCTAACTAATAAAGTCCAAACATTATAACTGACAAGAGAACAGTCAGTCATAAAATATGAACAAACAATAATCAGAATTGAGAGAGAACTTTTCAGGAAATGTCAGTTTTAGGCTTACAATCAGGATTAGGTGCTTCTACACTCGTTAATCAGCTATCATTTCCCTCTGATTTTAGGAATAAATTATGGGTAAGGTTAGGTTTAGGGGTGGGGATTGGGTTAAGTCTGTATTCTTGGACAGTAATGTTGATCCAGGATGAACAAAAGATGTTGATCCAGGAACATGTCTTACTTGGCAAAATCACGGTGACCCATCTGCCATACTGAACTTGTGGTTAAATCACTATACCTCGCTCGGTTTCATCAGTAATCACGATTCATTCATGCTTTTTAATGCTATGATAGTGTTACACATTGATTTTCTTCATGGTCTACGCCTGGATCCCCGAAGTAGCACCCTTGGCCAGCCCATGTATAAAAATCTAGTTCCGCCACAGAGTCATTTACTGTTGCTAAAGTGAAAATGAAAGTTGGCTATGCAGCAGGTTTCTGGTGTGAAAGGCAAATCGCAGCAAATTTGTTTACATTTTTACAGGGAAAAGACACAGTATCAGAATTTAGACTATTCATGAGTCATATCAAAGCAGACTACTTCAAATTCTCTCCAAGTGCATGCTAAAGCTGAGGTAGGAAAAAAGAGTAAGTAGCTTCATGCTAATGTAGCCTAGTTGCTGCTTAGCAACATGTTTTATTTTGTGTTAAAAATCATGAAAAGTCATGACCTCAATATGAAGTTTAATTCTCTATGGATTTCAATAGATTATTGTGCTTACGTCATTGATGTGGCTGTTCTATCAGTCGCAGATGAAAATTTTGTTTTGAATACAAGGTTTTAAATACTGTATGCACCAGACGACACAGGAGGATCGGATCCTAAACTCTAGGGGTGTTCGGTTCCAGGTTTTTCAGAGTCGACCCCAACTCCCGACTCCCACCATCGGAGTCTCCATTTAGCGCGACTGTCCAAATTAGTCTAATTTAGCAGTGACATTGAGCTATCACCGTTGTTTGCTGTTGCTGACACTTAATTTCACAAGGGAAAAGTCACGAAAAAGAGCCGTGGTGGAATATTCTCTCAGAATTAAATAAAAAAAAAAATTATTCTTTAATGAATTCATCACATAATGGTCAGGGGATGGCGCTAAACCCATAATCTTAAACAGCATTGATATAAAAAAATAAATACAAAAGGCCTAAATACAAAAATACATACGAATGTAGGCCTACACTTACTGATTTGTTTATTCTTGTTTATTATGTGTCAGTTTTTAATGATTAAAGCTTAGTTTAATGATTGAATAGTCTATGGAAAACCAAATGTAGCCTATAGGCTATTGACTGCATTAAACATAGGCTAACATTGCATAACAAAACATCAATTATACAAAGCTGTCACAAGCATGTACGTATAATTACAAACTAAATTTACTAATCCACACCTGTTTCACACATACTCCGTTTGCAGTGCGTTTTTTTTTTTTTTGGAGCATTTCCTTTTGTTGAGCATTCACTCGATGCGTTCCGAGCTATGGTTCCGAGCGGTACGTACAGTATATGCAGCATCGCAGTGATCGTTTCCGCACCAAATCTATTTTATTTTTGCTGTGCTGCACACGCTGAATTAAAGTGACAGGGCATTGCTCACGTTAAAAATGTACATGGATCGATACGAAATGTATTAATTGCACCATAAATGCATGTAGGCTAATTAAAGTAGTTTTAGCTATATGGGTGCAAGGGACCCAGCAGTCAAAAAAAATAGTAGGCATAGGAAAAACGAGCTTCCCAAACAAACAATCTTTGTAATGAATCAAAACAAACCTTCACAAGTTTAAAGCAGAAAATCAAAATTCAAAGAAATCAAATAAACTGACTTAGGCCTATAAAAGAGGTCAACAGAACAAAACTGAACTCAAGATAACTGAGAGCATGACAAACAAACTGAACTGACCTAACAAATGACACCATAAGAACACATTTATACAACTGGACTAGCCCATGTTCCACACAAGAGGGGAAAACAAAAAAACTACAACATACAACAACAAACAAATATCAAACTATTTAAATAGTTGAATTAAAGATTAAATGTAAACCTTGAAAAGAAGTCTAAACCAAAATTCCATTAAGGAAGTGAAACATAAGAAAACAACGCCCATTTAGACAACTCAATCCTCCCATCCTTTAGGCGGATGCACCCCATGACGGAAACTCGGAAACCTCCGCTATTCTCCACACAGCCCACACCACGGTAAATTAAACTAAAAAAAAACAATATTAACAGAAATATACAGCACAGCGAACTAAATTGTGTGCACTCCAACTAGTTAACATGTACCGATATTCAATAAACATTCTAAATGAGCAAAAGAATCGAGTCTGTCTTTTTACTCAATATCATGTGAAAATTCATTAAACAAATGCAACAATAAACCGTAAGAATAAGCAGGTAAAATCAATGCTTACCCATATGTATAATAGGTGTATGTGTGTGTGTGTGTGCACGTGTGTGTAAATATGCACGTTACCGCTCACTGATGTCTGGCCGCATCGTGGGCCATCACATACTCCCTCCCTTCGGGAATGTCACTGGCACAACGGGAAAGATAATCCGCTGTAAGATTTACTTTGCCAGGAACATGTTGGATGGTGAAGCAAAACGGTTGCATGGCAAGGTACCAGCGAGTGATTCGACTGTTAGTGTCCTTCATTCTTTGAAGCCACTGTAGAGCCTTATGATCCGTCTCCAGTCTAAACTCCCTTCCTAGGAGATAGTATTTCAAGGAGTCCAAGGCCCACTTCACAGCCAAGCATTCCTTCTCCACGATGGAATAGCGGACTTCTCTAGGGAAGAGCTTGCGACTGAGGAAAGCAATGGGGCGCCGTGCATCAGGGCCACCCTGCAACAAAACGGCTCCTAGGCCTCTGCCTCAGTCTTTGCAATGGCACACTTTTGGGGATTAACAGTCAAGCCAGCTCTCTGGAGCTGTTGCAGAACCTCCTGGACATGCTGCAGATGTTGTTCCCATGTGTTACTATATATCACAATATCATCTAAATAAGCAGCTGTATAGGTCAACCCCTGCAGTACCTGGTCCATAAGTCTTTGGAAACTAGCAGGTGCCCCGTGCAGCCCAAAAGCGAGAACCTTAAAATGAAATAGCCCCCACGGGGTCTTGAAGGCTGTCAGTTCTCTGGACCGCCGAGTCAACGGGATCTGCCAGTAACCCTTTGACAGATCGATGGTTGTCAAGAACTCAGAGGTACCCAGGCGATCAGTGAGGTCACCTATACGGGGAGTTGGATAAGCAGCAAACTTGCTTACAGAATTAAGGTAACGAAAGTCTATACAAAATCTTATTGAGCCATCTTTTTTTGGAACCAGGACCACAGGATGGCACCACTCACTCTTGGACTGCTCTATGATCCCCAACTTCAGCATCAGCTCAACTTCCTTCTTTAGTGACTCTTGGAGACGCTCTGGAACATGGTAACTCATTCTCCTTACAACAGCATCCGGTTTCAATACA